ATATCTAAAGAGTTTATAAAATATTTTTTAAATCCCTGTTCAGCAGAAACTAACTGAAGCAGAGTCTGATTTGCTAGCTAAACAGCATCTGTTAAACAAGACTTTAATTTGTACATGTGGCTGCTAGGAAGTAATCAATACTGTTGTGTGCACTGATACTTCTCTTCACCTTCCCCTGACTCAGCACTGAACCTGTGCAGGTATTAGTTAGAAAGTTTCTCTTCAATAAAAAGTGTTGTAGCCAAGAAAAAAACAAAAAAACAAAAAAACAAGATACATTAAAAAATAATAATAATCAGGCATATTTTTCTGTCTGACTCCTACAAGGTTGTTTTGTTCTACTTCTTTAGAGCTTAGACTGGTGCCTTGCTGCATCCCAGCTCTTCACACCACCTACTGCCTGCAGAAACACGTCTAACAGCCAATTCATCCTTCAGCCTGTTCACACCTGCACAATTATCATACTGGGAAGAAATTGCCACTATTCTACAGCAAACAATGGAAGAGATTGCATTTACCCTTCTGCTTGAAAACAGAAAAGTGTTGCTTTCTGAGCAGGTTATGAAACTCCCCACATTTCAGGTCAGAAGAAGTTTGTGTAACTCAGTGCAGTATTGCTCCTCACGGAGAGCTAGTTCACAGAGCTGAAGTGTTTTCAGAGAAGGGCAGCAAAGCTGTAAAGGGTCTGGAGCACAAGTCTTCTGAGGAGCAGCTGAGAGAACTGGGATTGTTCATCTGGAGAAGGCTCTGGGAGACCTTGCTCTTTACAACTGCCTGAAAGGAAGCTGTGGCAAGGTGGGGGTTGGCCTCTTCTCCCAAGTTACAGCAATAGGATGAGAGGTAATGGCCTCAAGCTGTAGCAAGAGAGGTTCAGATTGAATGTTAGGAAACATTTTTTCTCATGAAGAGTGGTGAAGCTGCCCAGGGAGGTGATGGAGTCACCATCCCTGGAGGTGTTCAAGAAACGTGTAGATGTGGGACTGAGGGATGTGGTGAGTGGGCATGGTGGGGATGGGTCGATCTTTGGACTGGTAATTTCAGTGGTCTTTTCCAGCCTTAATGATTACATGATTTTTCCTCTGCTGTGAAGCATAGCTTTAGGCCCAAGTTCAGCAAGGTAATCTCAAAGAGTCCATTGTTTTCACAGGGATCAATTATCATCCAAAATTAGGCACATGCTTAAACGCTTTGCTGAGAAGAGGACAAAAGGATTTGTCAGGCTGGAGCTCCTGGATTAGCTGCATGCATCACTCGTGCCAGCACTGCACCCAGCAGTGAGCTCCTTCCCACTACGTCCCCACCCAGAGGAGTCTCTGGGGAATGTTGCCATGGATTTCCATGGGAAACAAGAGAGTCCATATTGGAAGAACCCTGTTAAGGTTGCTAGGCGTAAATATTGACTTAACGGCTCTTCCGTCTTTTTTTCTTTTTTAAGAACAGATTTGTTGGCCATGGAAAAATAAAATGTTGGAGTGTGCATGATTCACTCTGGCACTGGCACAAACATGCAGATCAGTTGGCTGGCAGTTCGCTCCTCTGTTAGCAGAACATCACTTCTAAAATGTGTCATTTTGTCTTGGCAGCAACAGTGGCCAAGCCCACAGACAGGGAGCATCCAAAAGATAAAATCTCCTAGCCTACCTTCCATGAACTCTGCATGGGCACCATCAGCCTTCCCCAGCACAGAGTGTTTGGTTTGCACTTCCAATGGGTTTTTAGGTGAGACACAGAGAAGAGTTGGTAGGACACTGTGATTGTTTTGCTCTAAAAGCCCACACCAGAAACTTCCCTTCTTGGACCCACTCTGACATGGGGAAGGATAGCCAAAGGTTCTGCAGGTGAAACTTCTTGTTCAAAAATTTTTTGGCTGTTTCACAGACAATAAATATTTAAGACAGAAGACATTCCAGGTCATGCTGGAAGTAAGCAGAAGAAATGAGAGAAGATCCAAGGGTTTTTAAGAATCACAGAATTGTAGGAGTTGGAAGGGACCTCTGGGGATCAAGTCCAACCCCCTGCTATTGCAGGATCACTACAGCAGCTTGCAGAAATTTTGGTCATAACATTCATGCTTTCAATCCTGAATTCAAAAGATGTTATTAAAACATGACTTCAACAGACAGCATCATGCAAACCTTCCTCCATCGTGGTTCTATCAGATCTGGGTGATTTTGGCAGGACTGACACTGGGACAGACCTCTTCCAGAGGGTACAAAGCACATGTGACGTTCATGTGTATCAGTTCTGGACATGGTCAGCACCATCTAGTTTAGTGGGCATGGTGGTGATGGGTTAATGGTTGGACTATGTGACCTCGGGTCTTTTCCAGCCTTAATGGTTCTATGATTTTATGACCTCTGACAGTCCCTAGAAATGTCGGAAGGGAACACAAAGAGTTCTCTTGCATTTCGGCTTTGCAGGGAGTCCTCTGGGACTTTAATCCCATCAGAGATTATGCATTCCAAAGACATAATGCAAAAATAGAAAGGGAGAACAGGATGAACAAAAGCGCATATTTATATTTGCTTTGCATCCATCCTCTGCAGCTCTGCACAACCCTCACAGGGAACAGGGACAAATCCCTCTGCCAGGCATCTGCACACATCCTTTGCAGAAGTGGCCAATTAGTGCATGGCATGGCATGGCTGTGGCAGCCTGGGGCTCTGGCATCCTACCCACTGATCAGACATCACACACACTTGCCATCCCTACTTGGTAGAAAGCTACCAGAAACAAAGGCAGAACACGTAGATACCTTCGGAGCTTAGCAACAGCAGCTCAGGACCCACTTCACCCCTTTCAATACTATTTCTACTTTTTAGAGGCAGATAATTCATTCAACAGAGGAGCAGGTTGATATCTTCTCTCCTCAACAGCAGAAAATAACAAACTGGATCTGTCTAAGTGTTTCCTTGGTGGTGCATACAAATTCAGTGCTGCGTCTGCTAGCAAAGATGCCTATTTTCAGAATAAATACAATGGCATGCAAAGTTTATATTAACAACAGCTTAGTAGGAGACACCAGATTAAAAAAATAAGACAGATCTCTCTTATGGCCATAGTGAGTGTAGGATGAGAGACAAAGTAGAATGAATTGCATGAAATTAAGGACATTTCTGCCCACAGACCTGGTTTCAGCTGGGGCAAAGTTGATTTTTTCTCTGCAGTGTCTGGTATGATGCAATGCTTTGGCTTTAGGAGAAAAACAACTTTGATAACAGACCGATGCTTTAGTTGTTGCTGAGCAGCACTGCACACAGCCAAGGGCATCTCATACTGTTCTGCCAGGCCATGGGGACACAAGAAGCACGGAGGGGACAGGACCAGGACAGCTGATCTGAACTGGCCATAGGGATATTCCACACCATATGACATCACTCGAAAAAAAGCCTTGAAATACAGTGCAGTTGGCTGGGGGAGCAGCTCCTCCTTGGGAACTGGCTTAGCATCGTTTGGTGGGTGGTGAGCAATTGCGTGTCACTTGTTTTATATATATATATGCATATACATTATTATCATTACTGTTTTCTCTCTTCCTTTTCTGTCTTTGTAAATAGTTTTCATCTCAGCCCACAAGTTCTATTTTGTTGGGTTTTTTTAATTATTCTCTCCCCAATCCCACTGGGAGCAAACAGCTCTGTGGTGCTGAGCTACCTGTCAGGTTAAACCACAACACCCACTGCATCCCCTGCCACTGCAGTGAGAATAGCCCAGCCCAGGTGCTATATTCTCTGCTCTTATACCAACATATGAGTATCAGGAGAAAGACCCATAAACATAGTGAATGGTTCAAGCTGCCCAGCATCCATTACTACCTGATCACGAAGATGGCAGAGGTTTGGGCTTAATGACAGGTTCATAGTATTCCACATAGCAAGCCAGCACACTGCATTTATCACCGAGTGTACATTGCACTGACCTGATATGGGTCTGGCCATGGGAAAGCAACAGCAACAAGTGCTTGTGCCTGTTTGGAGCCTCACCTCCTTATCTCTGCTGAATAGAATCCTTTCTGCCTACTGACATGGCCAAGTTGGCCCTTGAATTTGCTGCTTCATCTTAGGTTGTCTGAGCATTTAGCGCAGAAATATCTAGCCAGCTTTAAAGATTCGGGATCAGACAAATCACTGTGCTCAAACAATGAGCTATCAGCTTCTACAAGACCAAGAGCTGGGGCCAGAAGCCCCACTGGGGACAGCAGTGCAGCAGGCATCAGATTGCTCCCGTCCAATGTAGATTTCTATATAGTTCTACTACGTTGATTTCAATGAGAAGTTGCTTTTAGAAGAACAGAACAGATTATATGGACCAATCCTAAAGTCACCAATCTTTTTCCATTAATTAGAAAGAAATTCAAAGGTGACAAGTTCAAATCAGGTGAGGTGAATACAACCTTCAGAGCACAAGATGAGGATGAGGTCAAGCCTCTAATGACTGCAATGAGTTCATAGCAGTCATGAGCTGCTTATTTATGCCTTAGTTATGTCTTACACTCACAGACAGGAAAGAATTGCACATCATGGACAATTCTGATAGGACAGAAGTTGCCCTGGGATGTTCCTTCCAGATGTACCTCTCCATGGTATGGGAGACTACTGCCATCACCTACAGCCATCTGTAGCATGCTGTAAGTTTGATAGCAAACAGCGTATAATCTGCACTGAGCACTTGGAAAGAACAACCCTGCTCTTACTCTGCTCAAAGCCGGTGACCCAACTGCTGACATTATTAGCGGGAAAGGGCTTTGCAGGCCATCATAGGTTTTAACTCCAGCCTAACTCCTCTTCAACGTCACTTTGCAGTCATCTGGACTGGCTTAATATAAGAGAAAACCAGAGCATCTCTCAAAACATTTTCAGCCTCGTTTAATCGCGGGCGTTCTTGTCTGCCTGTGACAGGCTGAACAACCTACCAGTCACACTTGTCAATCACTGCTCCTGTTCCTTCAGCGCAGGAGCATAAGGGAAACAAAGAAGCAGAAATGAAGGTCTGGTACTTACTTCCTCAGGACTGCAATTTCATTCTCTATGCTGCTTTCCTTCCCCTTCAGTGCCTTCTTGGGAATGCACTTGACTGCAAATAGTTTCCCACTAGCTCTTTCTTCAGCCAAAACAACTTCAGAGAATGCACCCCTGAAGGAAGAAAAGAAAAGAGAAGAAAAGCTCAGGTTTTAAGCATTGTCATTTCTTTGTTAATTGAAATTAGGCAATCAAGTATCATTCTGGTGGTTTTTGATAGCTGCAATTGTTAATCACAGCAATATCATTATGGAAGCACAATGAAAGATGCTCTAGCATACGCAGACATTTACGTTCACACAAAATATGAAAGGCTTACCAAACCCAACAATATTAATAAAGAACTATAACCCAGCAGAGGTCTGAGCAAAGGCTAAAAATGTGAAAGCACCACTTCCACACACAGGGGACAGCTGATCAATGATGCACTTTTCCTCTTTCTGAGGTTTTTGGAGGTTGAATTTGCAAAGTCCCTGCGAGTAAAGGGACCTCACTGACCACCAGAGGTCAGGGCCTCCGCTGTGCTCCTCCCTGGCAGCCCAGAGCATCTCCTCACCCCTCCTCACTCCTGACTCAGACAGGGAGGCAGAATTCTTCCCTGCACACAGTTATTCCACAAAACAAATGGCTGTGTGTAATCGCTAAAGCCAAACAATCGGATTAAATCACAGGTCCAAATGGCCGCCTGAACAGCAGCCTCCCTGCAGTTGCCCCAGAGAGGATTACACAAATAAAGGATAGAGAAACAGCATCACACGGCAGCCAGTCACTAACTGCTAAGAGTGGGCAGTGCTTTACCTGCATTAGGTTATTCCGTAACGGTATCATTGACTGCACTCTTCCTCCAAAGCATCTGCAGCTGACTAAGAGACCAGGAATACATTACAGTGCTTTTACTGTTCTCAAACTGCTTTTGTAGTTTTTGAGCATCATTGGGACACTGAGCAGGATTAGCTCATCACTGTTTTAGCACTGAAGTACTGGGCAATGCAGTGCATTGGCCTGATAAGGACCAGCAAATCCCTTTCACTGAAGCACCTGACTTGCCCAAGAAGCACCGGAGAACCACATGCTTGTCTAACCATATCCTAAACTAATTCCACCAGCAGAGAATTGTAGAATGGCTTGGGTTGGAGGGACATTAAAGCCCACCTGACTCCAACCCCTGCCGTAGGCTGGTTGCTCCCTGCCATCTCAGGCTGTTCAGGGTCCCATCCAACTTGGCCTTGAATGCCTCCAGGGATGGGGCATCCACAGCTTCTCTGGGCAGCCTATGCTGGTGCCTCACCATCAGTGGAAGGATCATATTTTATATATAAAACACAGAAGAGGCAAGACAGTAGGTTACTCTGTTCTACATAACTCTCTGAGAAGACAGCTCAGGAGCAGGCTAAGCAAATCCACCCCCGATCCAGCCTGCTCCTAAAATGATAATATTTGACCACATTTTGCTACCACACTTTCCCTACCTTTCATTGTGATCTGATTTTTGAGTGGTCCTATATGAAGCCTGAAGGTGGACTCGATCCTTCTGAGTCCCTTCCTGCTTGGGATATTCTATGATTCATTTCCCATGATCATTGCTTATCTAGATGTTTACAGATCAACAGAAGTGTTTCCTGGGCAGGCGCTTCAATGACACAGTCAAACACCCATGACCTCACCACCACTTCCCAAGTTGCAAAAGAGCTGAATGAATTGAGCCAATGGATAATTGAAGCGGGCAGAAAGAAGAGGATGCTGTTCTGGAAAGAGTTGCCTGTTTACACAGAAATACTTCAGCCATTAACAATAACATGGAAAAGAGACAGGAAGTTTAGGAATTGATTAAAAACGACTTTTGCAAACTGACAGTTTGCCTCCATGTTGCCTCACTTTTTGGTAAAAAGGACAAAAAAAGGACCAGACTCATTCATACTACTCTGCAGGAATAACTTTGTTTTCTATTTTGTGTGTAATCTGCCATGGCATGTCATAGCATCATGGACTCCGGCTGCTGGAGTAACAAAAATGAAAATTAAGCCACCCAGTGTATTTTTGAAGACTATTCTTTGCTTTCCTATCATCAACGGTTCTAATTATTTTGTTCATTAAATAGTGCCTTTCTCCTGACCCTCCTGCTTGGGACAGTCAGCAGTGGAATTGCAGTAAAATCCTTTTTTCTGAGAAGTCTTAAGTCTCTTCAGTGCTAATTGGTTTTGGTCTCAGAAACTCACAGGGCAGCTCCCAGCTGTGTGTCATGAACTCCTTAAGTCCTATCTGCTCAGGCTTTCACCAGCTGTATCTTGAACAATCTTTTTGCCAGTAGTTAAGTGGTGTGTAAAAGAGCAGCATATCCATACTGGTCATTTACTGCTCACATAGCCCTCTGAATGTTTACAGTACTATAAAACACAGAGCTTCCATTCTAATCTGGATTTCATTGCTGTTCTAAGACAAAATAAATGAAATCCCTTTATATCCCTCTATGCAATATACCCAGCTTTGGGAAATGTCTATGTTTCAGCTGGGTTCATCATTTTGCTGCATTTCTTTTGCCACATACCAGGGCAGCCATGGGGTTGAAAGAAGACACTGTGAATTTAAATGCAATTTTGGGGGAACTCTGAGATATACTCATGAAAAACAATCCCACATCTCCTTAACAGCCTTTCTCATTAAAGCATGAAATGAGCTGAACCTCATCTAAAGCGTTCACACACATGCCAGCCCTTGGCACTGATGGCCCACAGCTCCTGTGGTCACAGAGCAAGGGGAGGGGGGGGAAATGAATTGAAGCAATGGGAGGAAAGAGCAAGGAGGGAAGAGATGCAGAGGGAGATCAGAAAGTTAAAGAGATAGGAAAGAGAGGTAGAGGATAAGAAGAAAGAAATGGCAGAAGAAAGCATCAGCAAGCAAAAGGCAGCAAAGACTCTACTGCAGTCTGCTGGAGTCAGGGGAGAGTCAGAAATAACAGCATATGGATGGACAAGTGATTATCTTAATTTCAAACACACTGTTGAATACACCCACACTTAATAGTTCAGTTCAGCCCCCCACTGAATCCCTCTTGTCTTATGCACGAATAGATAAACATTAAAGTCAGCAGGATAAGGCTGCTCATTTTCTTTCTAGCAGTAATATATCCTACAGAAATTCTCCACCTCCTCAAAAAACATTCCCAGAACTACTAACCTGGCAGGCTTGCTATAGAAGTCATTCCCCGAGAAGAATTAATGTGCCCTTTAAAATCAAAATGTTAACGAAGGCAGCAATTTATCTGTGAGAATTCATTACATTATTTTATTGAGGGTTAAAATGATTTGCGTTCAAAGTTCTGCCAAAATGTCTGGGGTTAGAAAATGGGGGATTTTTATTCTCCTTCCCCAATAAAATGGGGGGCAATATTTATTTTTACACTGTGACACAGAATATATTTTTTTAAGGCCAGAGAAAAGAGGTTAATTAATTTAAAGTTATGATTTCAAAAGGTATCTGCAACGGTTGGGATGATCCATGCCCAGCAGCTGGGAAATGTCTAATGGCATTTCTAATGGCATCTACCTTTCCAACAGACGTCGGGACCCAGCTTTGTCCTCTGAACTGGGGCCTTCAAACCCCTCTTATAGTAAACTAAGAAAATATCACGGTTGTGAGGAAGAGGGACAGCACTGCAAATGGGTACGCAAGAAACTTCTGCAAAAATTAAACCACCTTGGTAGGTGCCAAAATAGAAGTGCAGCAATTGAACCCGTTTCTGAAAGTTATGACCATGTTATCATTTACCCTAGGGGACCAGCTCTTTTTGAGTTTCTAATTAAGGCACTGGATAATACTGTGATCTGGGTCCTTTTTATATGAATTAGGAACAGTGTAAAAGGCAAAAAAATGACTTGACTTGTGACTTTGAGATAATGGCAAATTCTGGAAGGTGGCTGAGACCTTCTGACTCCTCATCGCATTCTTATGGACCAAGTAGCATCCTCTGCAGTGACAGTATTTATGGTTCTAATTTTCTTAAACTGTTTTCCATTCAGTTATTTTATTTAATCTAGGTATACAGATTAGGATTTTGAGATTATCACTGGAATATGAATGGTGTTCATAACCAAACAGATTGGATTTTTAGCAGCATGGTTTTATGGGTGTGGTGGTGATGGGTTGACAGTTGGACTAAATGATCTTTGTCTTTTTCAGCTTTAATGATTCCATGATTCTCTGTTAGAAAGCAGAGGCTGCAAGATCAGGTTATCCTGAAGATCAAAGCAAAATAAGGGCCAAATAACTTTTCTTCATAATAACTTAGAGAATAATAACTTAGTACACTTAATTTCAGAAATTCAATGAACGACAAATACTGTGACAGCAAATCTGTTGACATTCAGCAAAAAAAAATACTGCTGTCACAGAAACACTGGCAAATGAAGACAAAGAGTTGATGGAGAGATAAAACTTCATTTTTCCATTTGCAGAGACCTCCACGTTGAACAGTTTTCCACTGCATTAGCAGGTGCTCTATCACACTAAATCAACAGACATAGTCAGGAAACAGATTTCACATCTTCAGTCTGTGTATAGCTAATGTTCTTAATTATAGTACAGTTTGCCTTCTGTGTGTACTTTGCCCCATGGAAAAAATTAGTGAACGCTCATGGTTTGAAAAATATACCACATCCATAGGGAAGATCACTTTGATGGGAGACTAACAAATGAGCAAAACCGATCAAACCAAAAAAGCCATTTCCATAGCATGCCTTTGGTAACCACACATCAATTCTGCTCCTCAGCACCACGGAAAAAAGCAGCATTGAACTAACTGTCCCAGAAAGGAACAGGTATTTAAGGAAAAGTCTTTCCTGGCACTTGTACAGCTTTTCCCATGGCCCTCAAGGAGTAACTGAGGGATAAGCTCAGGTTATAGGTATAATCAGCATATACAGAGGAGTTTATGGTCCTGCAGAATATTCTCCTATTGAACCATTTTTCTGCAAAAATAATAATCTTTTTTTTTTTTTTTTCATTAAATTTTCTGCTCAGTCATTTCTGTACAAACATCCGCACTCTCTCAAATTCCAGACTTTTCCCAACAGAAACCAGAATTAAGACTGGAAATAAAGGGTTTTTGCTCCGAAGTT